TATCGCATTTTTGTGGATTTGTGCTGGAGCACGAGCCAGTAGCTACTTCGACATACTTTGACGGTCCCACAGGCGCTACAGATCATTTGGCACGAATCGAAGAGAAGGGCGTGCGGGAAAATCCTCTTCCAATGCCACACAACGGCAATGTCTTGCTAGATGGCGTGGGCCCAGTGCTGCTTTATCAGATGAGTGAGTGCGAGACGCGTGTGTTGGCGGATATTCCCGGATCACTGCTTCCGTCAGAAGCTGGTGGGCACCTGCGCCGTGTGCTGCGGCAATCTCTGGAAGCTGCTGCATCTAAAAGTCAATTTCCAGGACTTCAAGCGCAGCTCACACAGGCGCTCGATGACTCTCGACGCATTCGCTGCATTGGCAGCCGCTTTATCCCTGCAACAGGCAAGTCGGCGCATGGCGCCGTGTGGTTAGGCGACGCACTGAACATTCGTCATCCGCTGACAGGTGGCGGAATGACCGTGGGGCTCTGGGATGTGGTGATTCTAACGGATCTACTTGCCTCCACACCCTCCATTGCTGCGTTATCCGAGGATCCTAGCACATTGCGTCGTATAAAGGCTCAGTGGCATTGGCGTCGTCGTCCCCGCGCCCTAGTGGTCAATGTGCTTTCGGTAGCACTACATGCTCTATTTGCTGCTGATTCTCGGGAGTTGGGCTTGCTGCGCGAGGCCTGTTTTGATTATCTTTCTCGTGGCTCTCGTTTTACAATGGAACCCTCGGGGTTTCTCTCAGGTCTTCTGCCCAGCCCAATACTGCTGCTGTTCCATTTCTTCAGTGTGGCTTTTCTAGCTATACGTCTACGCATCTCAGGCCGCTCTACTGCATACACGGGTGGTTCACTGCTGGTTCGTATCTACACCGCTTTTTACACTTTATATGTAGCTGCTAGCGTCATTCTTCCTGTTATGTGGACAGAGCTTCAGCCCTAATATTTTCTTTAAACAAAAAAAAAAAAAAATTGCTTTGTAAAAAAGTGCAAAAAACGCCTTGTGTGGGGATCGAACCCACGACCGTCTGGTTAAAAGCCAGACGCTCTAAGCCGCTGAGCTAACAAGGCAGGCAGTTTGACTGCTTTGCTGCAAGCTAATGCACCATTTTTAAACGCTAATTATATAAATTATATTAAAACGTGCGTTTTATAAATGCATAAACGACGTGCTTTAAGAATTTGTTGTTGTTGCTAGACACATTATTCCACAAACCATGATGTTATTGCTATGCAACAATAGTAATTAAAATATAGAAATAACTTTATAAACAAGCAATGCAATTGTGTCAAGCTAAATAATAAATACTGACTATGGTTTTCTTGAGCAAAGACCATATAACCATTCAAATAAATTGTTAAATAGAGCTGTCAAAACATATAAAATCAAATATTAAAAAACAACTACATGCATATAAAATGTAATAGTATACTCACAACAAGCACATCCACATGTCTGTGCCGAGAAAAGGTAGGGCAGCAAAGCAAATTAGTTTTTTATTTCCTGGAATTATATCCAGTTTAATAAATGTGTAGGTGGCAATCCCAAAACATTAATGACAAATCTCTTCTACTGGCAAACTAATGCACACCAATCATTTAGATAAAGAATTTTTAACTGAGTGTAAATGGTCATAAAGCTAGTGTAATTTTGTGTCTGATTTAGAGCAGTGGTGGGTATCTTCTATGGTGTTTTTTTTTGAGAATTATGCAATTGTGGAGTGGCTGCTCCTTTTCCTGCAGTGCTCAGCAGGTTTCTGCGACTGATTATCACGAAGTATAGTATTTCTGCACAAGCAACACTTTTGGGTTAGAATTTACCAACATTGTCTAAGATTCTATGTCATAGACTTTCTCCTCTACTCTCAATTGTTTTCTTGCTCAACCAATCAGCGTTGAGTT